TACTTCGTGAAAATAATCGGTATTTGGGGCACAGGATCCATTGCCCCAACGAAGACAATTTACTTCCCAGGGTGTACGTACAGTAGCCCGCCCACAGTTTACAGTCAAGGAGCGCCGATTAATGCACCTCTGTAGAATTCACCAGACTGCCCTGTGTACTGCACTAAATTGGGCATCGCCTGAGGGCATAATAACGTTATCCATTTTGCGACTGATTTGTTGGACTGTGAATCATGATGTCATCATTTGCAGTACGCAATGTACCAACACTGCACGTCAAGGTCTCATTGTACAGACCTTAGACTAACGTTAGGTTTTACTAACGTTACGTATTAGCTCGAATATGGGTTGCAATAGTTTAGTCTCATTTCCAGGGAAGTCCTTGCAATTCAGTGACTTTCCATAATAACTTCAAAGGAATCTGCCTACCAAGTGACAACTGCCAGTCGCAATGCGTCACACCATGTCCTTGCCGAAAAAGTGCATGCGGTACAGCTCAAAATTCAAATACATCCATTGTTCACATTGCCTCAATGTCGAATGCGTCACATTAAAGGCAGACCTCCAAAACCGACCGCAGGTTTTTGTGGCGCAAAGCCCTACACGTGCGATGCCGTTCAATGATAGACCAGCGTAAGAGCCTTTGGGGCGCCTAAAACTTTTGTCAGCAGCCCTTATGTGTGGGGGGGGCTGCACGATCGGGACAACATCAACCGGTTAAATCCGTATAACAAATTTTAACCGGATTCCGGATAACTGTCCTACCATGTCCTACCATGCCATAATATTGGGAGAGGTATGAGAACACTCTATAAATACATACTCTGTATTTATAGAGTGTTCTCATACCTCTCCCAATTTCCATACTTTAAACAAGTCAAAACAAATGGGACATACAACATGTGCTACTATAATACAGTAGAGACGTCATACTAGTGTACGTAGTAATATAAGTACCATGGTATTAATACTTAGTAACGTTACTGTGTCGATTACACTATATCGGACGATGTCAACCCATGTGCAAATAAACGGTTGTATGTTTGGATTATGGGAGGGTGAAGTGTCCGATACGCGGGAAGGAGTCGGCCGTCTCGTCTTGGGGATATGTGTGTGGGTAGTCAAACTGAACGCACGTGACGTTGCTGTAGAACATGTACTCGATGGGAACGCTCGTGTCGTTGAATGATTGCCGGCAGTTGGCCGCCGACCCCGCGTCTCGCACATGTCCGGCGTTCTGTACAAACGAACGGTACTGCGCCGTGTTGTTCCGAGTGTTGAAGTCCCCCACGACCAACAACGGCCCATTTATGGGTCGACTAAGGATCGTGCGCGCTACAACGTCCAGCTGCGTCTGCTTTTCAGACATGCCGTCGTTGCCTAGGTGGACATTCACCACCGTCACCGCCGTGCCATGGACGTCGACAGCCACCATCTAGCGTTTGGCATTCTTTGAATAGAACTCAATGGCCATGTCGACTGTACCTGCATGCATGCATTTTCTCCGCGAGGCGACGGCAATATCACGCCAGTACTTTGGGCTTCGACAATCGGAAACACAGACAGAAACGTGCACCCGAACGAGTCCTCGACGGTCCGGGGGTGGGCGTAGCTGTACATGCCAAGCTCCTGCGCGAGGAAATCCGTCATGTCGATGGCCCCACTGCCCGCTTGCATCGTGTCCGACTCCTATGCCCCACCTCACCATGATGTATCATTTCAAGAACGTACCGTACCTGCAACGCCACCATATGGGGCTCGTAATCTTGGATCGCGGTGAGAATCGGTTGGAAGTTGGTCAGCCCGGCGCGGTTAAACCCCTATAACGAAGACATTAGTCCAAGTTGTTTGGTTGCAAAAATGTTAACAATGCGCGCACTTGGTACACGTTGAAGCTAAACACTCGAAAGTCCGACGGCACGCCCAGCAGCGTGTTGGAGGGAGAGACTTGCCCCTGTAGCAACAGAGATGTGAGAAAAGTGCATGAAAACATGTGCGGCATACCGAGGAGTGGTTTATGACCAGGCGGACAATGGCGACGGGACACAGCACCCCAACGAGTAGCCCTGTGACCACGACCGCTCTCAATGCGTGCATGGACGTCCAGCGCACGAAGCGACAGTGGCGGCGGTGTCGAGACCGAATCAGTGTCAAGGCGTTAGCTGCACTGAGCAGCAACCCCACTGCGAGCAGGAGGGGGTACCGTTGGCCTCGTAGGAACCGCAATTCGTCGGGAAGGTAGTCGTAGCACGTTAAGATGATTGTAAGCGCCGTGAGCAAAATGTACGCCAGCGTGCCCAGACAAGTCGTGACGCAGAGGCCAGTGGACATTGACCCCGACGATGGACTGGCATGGGTCTGCAACGAGTCGGCGGAATGGGCCCGTCCGGTGTGCGGGGAAGGCGTGGACTTGTCATTTGGTAGTACGCTCCCAGACATGACAGTCGCCGATACCAGTTGCGTGGCCGATACGTTCGACGCTAATGGGGCGTAGCCGATAGGGGGCACGAGGTCGATCCAAAGCGATGGCAACGCCATAGCCATGCACGCCGAGCCCACAAGTTGGACATCCACTTTAGCTGTCGAGCAAAAGCACAAAAGGCCTGTGGTCCACACAATTGACATGACGAATCGCGGGAGCACCTACAACTCAACACTATCAATTGACCTGCCAAACCCAACCAGTTGGACATGGGCAACGAGTCACACAATGGCAATCTCATTCCAATATGAGGGGGCTTACTTGGGGAACTACTGCGCCTGTCGAGTATGCTAATAGCACGAGCCAACTACCAAAACGCTATCAAAAGAAATAAGTAGGGACGGGGTACCTATACTCGGTGGACACACCGAGCCACCTTGAAACGGCAGTGGGGGCGCCAAATACCCATTGAGTCACGAACACGACCAACGGAATGCTTGTGATGGAGCCGACGGAGCGCCACCAAGCATGCCGCGTCGACACGGGCGAGGCGAGAAGGGGGTGAGGGCGGTAGTAGAACAGGTAGACACATGCCAGCGCTACTGGCAGCTGGCACACGACCACCGTGACGAGGGCGTCGGCTAGGCCCGGGACAACGGGGTTGAGCGACTTGTTGCCCCAGCGCAGTGCTAACGTGACGAAGTTGGCGAGCATGAGGCCAGTGACCGACAACGTCGCTGCAGTGACCGATCCGTCGGACGAAAGTGCCTTCAAGTGACGTGCAAAAGACCACAAGGACAACCTGGCGGCGGTGACAAGGACAAGACCGATGCAGCACATCTAGCAGAAGGATGGTTCATGCGAGAGAGGGATTGCCATGATGTACCACGAGGTGAAAGGTCGTGTCAATGTGAAAGCGAACAAAGAGGCAGAGGAGGCCCATGGCATCTAGGACACTGCCGTACTGCGCTGCAGCGAGGCGGAGCTTGTGGTTCACGAGAATGAGAGGTAGAAGGAAGAGCAACCCGAGGAACGCGAGCTTGGACGACAAGTTCATTTCTTGGAGGCAGAACCAATACACGTCTCGCGGAAGTTGGTCGATCAACGCCCAAAACACGACACCAGTCGCCGTGTGCGCCGCGAGCATCCCCACCAACCGGTTCCAGGGCAGCTCCGACGACATGTCCTCCCCTGCTTATTCTTGGCGCAAAATCGAATGCCGGTGGAGCTAAACTTACCTCCATCGTGTGACATTTTACCTCCTCCTGACCGTTACAGAATCTGCCTGCAGTAACCGTCACTCCAAGTGCAATTTGGAATGTAAAGCGACGGTGGAAACCTATGAACCCCTGCATAGGACTGTTTATGGCAGTGTGCAGGAACAGCATCGAGACATGGATAGCCCAAGCTTGATCACGTCACACACCCCACAGACACTCGGAATGCTCCTAAGGTCCGGCAAGGTAATAAATACCAGACTCACTATTTTGGCGTCCGCATGACAGCGCAAGATATGTTTCAACTTTCGCCTCAACGTCAAACAAGCGGCATCGCAACCACCCATCATCATGCATGACTTATTCCGTGGTCATAAAGCAAACGGCGACAAGTTGTTGGACACGTTTGAATTAACGTTATACGAAATCCTGCATTCTACTATTAATAGTAACTAACGTAGGGCACCAGTCATCGGCGATGCTGTCATCAAATTAGCTATCAAAGGAATATGTGTTTAGAATGGGTATTAATTGATACAGTAACGATTTCTGTATGATCAACACAAAATTGACTGGTCCAACCTCTAATTTATAAGGGGCACTAAGTTTTGAAGAACTACATTTTGACCGATAAGAGGTATTCGGGCATTTCGATTGGCTTACAACAGTGCCGCCGATGCCTGGTGTCTTTGCCGCGAACTAGGGTATTCAATACATTGCACTAGTCTAAAACGTATGCCGATGACTGGTGCCCTACGAAAAACGCTACTTTTGAAAATCCTTACTGCTCGTGTTTACTATTGAAATGGATATCCTTTGAACCTCAATTCATGAGCTGAATCTTGCGGTTATTTTGATATTTGTATCACCTCAATATGTGTTGTAACGTTAGTCACAAGAAATCGACGAACAAAGTAAGCAAAGAGCGATGCTGATGACTGGTGCCCCACGTTACTACTTTTAGTAATCATTATTGGTGACAAATCAACAGTATACTTTATCGGTCATGGTGGCAAATGTATCCTTTTGCCGCTGGAAAGTGCGTCGAGGGATGTGTGTATGTATGTATACATACATGTTGAACGTTATCACAGAGAGGGGTACAAACCACCTCCTCCAATGTCGACGACGGGGCTACTACTAGCACTACCACTCGACGACGGGTTGGCAATCGCGGCATCTGTGGCAATGGCTGCAAAAAAGTCGACCAGCGCGTCCTTGCCCGTGCGGAGGTTGCGCAGTCGGATGCGCTCGTTCTGAAGATGTGCGCGGTCCGACGCCTGTCCCATGGGGAAATGCATCACGGGCGCCTGCAGAGTTGTCTTTAGGAACATGGTGATCTGGGACGACCCGCCTTCCCGCACCATCATGGGCTTCTTCTTCCAGTGCTTTTCCAACGCTCGCTCCGCCGCCTTGTAGTAGCTCTACCAATCACACACCACAGAGCAAATTCAACTCACCATGTCACATATATCGCAGTACGTACGCTGTCGAGGTCGCCAAGCCACCACGGCACATTCGCCTTGACGTGCAAACTGAGCGTGTTGCTTGATCCGAGCAAGCCAAACTGCGCCCGGATATGGGCCAACACCAGCGCCTCCATTTCCTCGGGACTCTGGTCCGGCACGGTGCGCAGCGTCAGCTCCGTGCAAGCCGCCCGCGGGATGATGCTGCTGTTGTCGATGCTGCCCTTGATCGCCGACACGGACGCCGACGGAAACCGCCATCGGTTCATGAGCACATTCACGGACGGGTTGGCGGTCGCGGTCGCCAGGAACGGCGGCAAGAGGTCGCGTACCCCAAGTGTCTGCCGGTAAGTATCCACGTCGAAATCCGACAGAGTGTGGTGAAACAAGGCGAGCTCTTCGGGGGTGACCCGCCGGACATCGTCGTAGAACCCCGCGTCTGTGAACCGGCCGGTACGCGGGTCCAGGATGCCATTGAGCAGCGCCACAATATCAAGCATGGGCTGGCGGATGGCGCCGCCGTCGACGCCGGCGTGCACGTCCACGGCGGGTCCGTCGACTTGGATTTCGATCTCCAAGCATCCACGCATGCCGTACGTAAGGCACGGGGTGTGGTCGCCGAGCCAATAATTGTTGGAGATGAAGATCAAATCCACGGGGGAAAAGTAACTCAGGTGGTCCTCCACGGCCTCCTTGAACCCCTGCGCCTGGTTTTCGCCTTCCCCTTGATACAAGAACATAAAGTTGGGCACCGACGCCACCCCGTCGGCCGACGACAGCAGCTCGCGGATCGCAAACAGTGTCGCAATGATCGGTCCCTTGTCGTCGGTCGTCCCGCGGCCGTACAAGTACCCGTTTTGGCCGGTGAGGAGGAATGGATTCGTATCCCATCCGTCTTCCAACGCCGCCGGTTGCACGTCGCTACAGCACCATGTCACATGGTCAAGGATATTTGGAAATATACTCATACATAATATACAAACACTGGAATCGTCGGCCATTGTGTCCTGGAATAGAGAACAGTATTCAACGACGATTTAGTAGAACCATACTCAAGTCAAATCAGAAAACCAACTCGTGTGACGACATATATATATATATATATGCTTGATTTATAGAAACCGATCGACGACGACGTACTAGTGGCCACAGATCAACACGGTGGGCTTGGTAGGGTCGTGGATGAGTTTGCCAATGACAATCGGGTTGATTCCTGGGCCACAGTGCACCACTCGGCACTCGGCGCCCAATTGTCGCAGCAAGTTCTACAGCCACAATCAAATTATTATGTATACTATAATAATCATACAAAATATATTATTATAAAAAATATTTTTATAAACAGGATGGAAAACAAAATCATGTGTATTAACACTGTAAAAACAAATCTCATGTGTATTAAAAATCAATAATATATATATATATATATATAATATAATATAATATAAATATAAATATATTATCCAAACAACAAAATATTCAAAAACGGTGGTATTACAACCAAATCATGTTTCGTACAAAAATACCGTTCACCCTTTTCGTTCAATGCAACTCCAGATGGTTCACCAACACATCACAAACATAAAGAGCAAATGGTAGGTACCTTGAGAAACTTGGCGCCGAGCCAGCACTCGTCAATCATGGTCGGGTCGACGCTCACGGTTTGAATCGCGACAAACTTGCGCAGGAGATGGATCAGGGACGCGTCGGACGTTTGCTTGTTGGACGTGGCCAGCAGCGTCGCATCCATTTTGAACTTGTGATTGCTGGTGCTACCGTCGTCGTGATGACCACCAGCCAAGCGCCCCGACGACGACGACGTCGAGCTGGTGCTGGTCATGTTGGTGATAAAGTCCATATCCCATACGCGCACGGTGCTGTCTTCGGACGCGCTAAAGACAAACATGTCTGTGCTCAATATGCCGCTGACGCCGCCGTGATGGCCGTTCAATGTGTGGACACATGCTAGGGACTGCGTGTTCCAGATGCGCACAGTGTCGTCGGCCGACCCCGAGCAGATGCGGTTCTTGTCCTTGAGCGAACAAATGCTCAGCACCGCCGCCGTGTGCCCCTTGAGGATGCCGTTGCATCGCATGCTGTCGATGTCCCAGCAACCGATCGTCTTGTCTTGAGATGCTAGAGGTATACACGTGTGACGAGGTGTGACCTGTGACGTGGTGCAACAAGAGAGAGACACACACCTGAAAACAGACTGTGGCCCACCGATACAATGTCTAGCACGCTGCCGCGGTGCCCATGCAGCGATGTGATAAACGTCATCGCAGGCAACTCCCAGCACTACAATACACAAGATATGAATAGATAAATAGATGATACATGAACAACACAACGTCGTCTATCGCAGAGAGAGTGGACGAGATGGAAGGAGAGGGGAGCTAGCTACAATTGGTACCTACCCCAATGGTGGAATCGCTAGAGCAACTGAACAACAGGTTCCGATTCGACTTGTCCGAGTACAAGTGGATGCCGTACACGTAGCCATGGTGGTTGGACACGAGCGTCCATTTCTCGAGGGGCGCTAGCACGTGCGCCGCCGCGGAGGAAGATGAGATGGACGCCATCTTCACGTGCGTGTCTTGGCACGCCATGAAGAGCGTGTCGTTTGTGGCCGTGAGGCTGAGGATGTGCCCGTTGAACCCGTTGATCACCTGGACGCATTGGAAGTCATGCTTGCCGTCCCAGACGCGGAGACTTTGGTCGGCCGAGCTCGAGATGAGTGTGTGGGTGTCAGGTACGACTTCGAGCGCGATAATGGAGCGCGTGTGGCCTTCTAGTGAGTACGCGGGGGAGAATTCGTCGAGTTCCCAGATCACAATCAAGTTGTCTTGGGTGCCTGCGCACAGTCGTTGAGGGTTTCGAAGCAGGGCAAGCGCCGAGATGGACGCTTTGTGGCGGAACGTCATGAACGAGTTGTTCGTGTCCAGCAGCCCTTGCGACGAGTGCACGGCTGGGATGCCCTTGGCGGCCTTGGCATCCTTGGACGACGGCGTATCGTACATGAGCACTTGATGTGTGTGGTCTCTCTCTTCCGCGTCGGTGGGCATGAGTCGGGTCGTCGAGTGCCTTCGGCTTGGTCGTCGTTTCATGGCAGCGGCAGCAGCGTCGGAAGTACTTGTGCTGTCCGCTGATGTTGAACTTGCATGTTCGTGGTGGTGCATTGGATCGGGGATGTTTCAAATACTACTGTACATTGTTGTGGACATTTATAATCCGCGGCGTGTAAAATACATACAACGACCGTATGCAACCGACATGTTTTTATTATAATATGTGTGTTGTTACACATTGCTGTTTCCAATTTCACTTGGCGTTTGTATCGGTGTCGAGCTGGCCACTGGACCAATCACAGCCGCGGACCCTACGACGTGCCAATTGGTTGGCAAATTGCAAGCCGCCCCCCACCCACGTCGACGGCGCCATAAAAAAAGTGCGACGAAAGCGGGAGCACAGAACGATCTGATGGTTACTCCCATGGCGCCTTTGCGAACGTTAGCAGGGGGGCAGGATGGTACGCACTGAATGGCACTGACCATCTTGCCTTCGTGACAAGTGGCGTGGGTTGAAAGGAGGGGGCACGGAGGTTCCATAGTTTGTTCAGAGCGAGTCACGATTCGTGCCTGGTATACGTGGTAGTAGTTAGTATAGGCCTTGGGGCCTGAGGTACATACATATAGGCTACAGAAGGTCAACTACTGTACGGACCTCCAAGATACATCTATGAGTGTGTGCCCCTTCAGGATACAGCAGCTCATCGACCCAACAAATCACCACCGTTTATATATGCAATAATAATATTATGAACGAATATCGTGGTCATCAACTGGAACTGTTTTGACGATATTTTGTGTCATGATATTGCCAGCACAATGGTGTGCAATTGTGTTCCAACTTGAGGCGATCCTTGACAGCCAAGTTTGAGCGTCTTGGATTCGCGCACCACAAGGCTAGAAAATACTACGTACAAGTACTACGGTAGTAGTATTTCCTTATTACCCTTTGAATGGAATCAACTTGATATTTTGATTCACATTGGCAAGGCCAAGCCCTACAGTAACGTTATTTTGCAATGCTGGTGCTTGTTAAAAACTCTGGGCGAAGCCATGATGCTCTCAGCTGCACTTATCCCCCCCCAAGCATGAGAATAGTCCTTTCATCGGTGGGCACGTCTCTAACGGTGCCACGCGTCGACCGTTTCATCGAACATCAAAACTCACGAATTCTCGTGATGCCATTGGCCACAAATCTACCTTTTTCAGCAATTCTTTTAACGTTTTCATGAAAATTCATTGGCAGATTGTCAGCCAGTACGAGCTATAACCTGTCAACGACCATGGGAGGGGCGGGTGTGTACTTGGCGAGCGCGAGCATCTTTGTGGCGGCTGCGGCCTACTTTGTTCAGCAATGGAGCCTTCCACTGTGGCAAGCCTCTCTCTACGCGATGCTTCTCGCGTACCTTCCTTCGTACCTGGACACGTGTCCTACGACTCATCGCGGTCGGTACTGGCCGTGGATGGCCGCGCGCGACTTGAGGTGGCTGTCTCCGTTCGTAAAGAAAGCGGAGCTGCACTTTGAAACGCCTTTGACCAAGGGCACGCAGTACCTCTTTGCAGTCCATCCCCATGGCGTCGCTTCGTGGCACCACGGCGTCGTCCTCTTAGCGAACACGTCGACGCCTCCGTTCAACGACATTGTTCCTGGCGACCAGCGACGTCACTTGGGCGCGTCCGTCGTCTTCCGCATCCCACTCTGGCGCGAGTTCATGTTGTACTTCGGTGTGGTGGACGCGTCCAAGCATGTCGCACATGCTGTGCTCAAATCTGGCAAGACTCTCGTCATCATGGTCGGAGGGGTCATCGAGCAAATGATGGCCAAGCGCGGCGAGCATTTGATTTACGTCAAACATCGCAAAGGTATTCCTATCATCAGGGCTAGATTCCATGTACTACCCCTCCTATACGATGCTGACGATATGGCCAAGGCCACTGCAAACTGGCGATTCAACATGGCACTGCTGTCGTCCCAGTGTATTGCTTTGGGGAAACAGACATGTTTGAGACCTCCACGTAAGAAACACCTCAAGTATGGTCGGCTGTGTAGTATCACTCACGCATTGGACTGAATTTAGGTTTCTGCTGCCGTTTCGGCAATGGGTGGCCAAAAAGTTCAGCGTGGCGCTGCCGATTTGCTGGGGGCCGTACTGGTGGTGCCCCATCTACCCGTTCGACGTTGAGTATCACCACGTGTTTGGCAACCCCATTCCCACGACCAAGACCGACCACCCCACGCAAGAAGACATCGATCGCGTCCATAAGCAGTACGTCGCCGAGCTCGAGCGCATTTTCGAAAAGTACAAGGCGCAGTTTGGCTACCCCGAAGCGACGCTGCACGTTTGTTAAACGAGAGCAATATGAACAAATACTACATAGTACTACTACCTACTAGGGCAATACAGTTCAAACTGGATGGTTCAGCCACCCAGCCACAAGACGACTGTGTGCGTCACAATCCGCATCGTACAGTAGTAACAAGTTAATGTGTTAGTAGTGTTGGTAGGGTGTTTGGAATAGTATGTGCCCCCTTGCACCCAAGGAGCTTGACATTGGTCACAGTGTCGATTTGTACGGCATTTCTATCCTCCACAGCCAACATGCACATGAACGCGGTGGTGGTGCTGTGGGCGGAATCCACTTCTCAATGCGTGTTTGGTGGCGTATGCCGCAACGTCTTTTAAACTGAGAATGGAGCAGTTGGTTGCTCGTGCACTACCCGTCGCTCGGCAGGTGATGGTCAACTGGCTCAGTGAACATGGCTCAGTGGACTCGCTCATCGCCTACTGCGAAGTGCCACCTCTGAGCCCGAGCAACATGTACACGACGATTCCCATCCAGACGGCGATCGCAGACCAAGGCAAGGGTAGGTCAAGCGCGAGCTCCTCATTTTCATATCTATCCACCCGAACACGCACCATCTGAACAAAATTACCGCAACTTCAAGTAATAATAGGTACCGAATGATATTTTTGTAACGTAAAAAACCAATTTAAGATAACTTTTTTGGAGGCGTCGGAGTAGAATGGACATAACTTTTGACAGTGACAGTGAGTCCGTTACGATATTTGAGTTTTCAATAGTGATTCCAATAGACAAGACGCGCCCCTTTCAGTTCATAATCGAATCATCAGTTTAGGCGATGAACTTCACAGATAAATTTGTTACTTTCTAAGCATTTGTACTCACATTTTGATAACCAATTTAGGATAACTTTTTTTATCTTAAAGTATGTATGTGTTTGAGCATTGAAATTCTGTGTTTAGGGTAAGCGGTTACAACAGGTTGAATATAATTTATACAAGGGTACTGTTTTATAGAGTTAAATTTCTGTTGTGAATGGATGTCCACCGAGTTTAACACTCGACAAAACCTCAGATCCAACCCAATGTGGCCCGTGTCGACTAGGGAACTTCAACCCAATCTTGAATTACTATTACCAATGGCTTCTACGCCGTTTTTGCATTTCATTCACGTGACGGAATGGCTAGCATTATATGATAGAGGTTTTGACTCGAACAAATAACGAGGTGTGATTGGGCAATACAAAGTTATCCTAAATTGGTTAAGTTATCTTAAATTGGTTTTTTACGTTATTGTGAATTTGAGGTGTGTACGAAAAATCGACACGCATTCCTAAATGGAGTGTAGGTAGACAAATCCTTTGAAGCTTGTATACAGTAAACTACTAGTATGGTATATGAGCGCCGCCATGTCGTCGGTCAGGAGCGAGAAGCCCGCGTTGCGCGGCTGGCCCGTCTTGAGCTTCTGCCAAATAACCACAAGTTGGCGTGGAACGCCAGCCAGCACCCACGTCGTCCCGTCCAGTAGAACTCGTGGATGGCCGGTAATGCCACGATTGTTGTTTCGTCAACCGTTTTATCCAAAATGGGCGAATTGAGGTGATGCTATTGGCCAAAAACATCTTATTTTAGAGGTTTAGTTATGTTTTCATCAATTATCCAATGTCGATTCCTGGGCGGTGGAATTTCCTTCAAACCTATCGACCACCATGCGAGCGGCGACTGTGTACGTGGAGAGCGCGGGCATCTTTGTGTGTGGCTGCAGCGGCCTACTTTGTTCAGCAATGGAGCCTTCCGATGTGGCAGGCCGCTCTCTACGCGGTGCTTCTCGCGTACCTTCCTTCGTACCTGGACACGTGTCCTACGACCCATCGCGGTCGGTACTGGCCGTGGTTTGCCACACGCGACTGGAGGTGGCTGTCCCCATTCGTCAAGAAAGCGGAGCTGCACTTTGAAACACCTTTGACCAAGGGCACGCAGTACCTCTTTGCAGTCCATCCCCATGGCGTCGCTTCGTGGCACCACGGCGTCCTCCTGGGAAATACGTCAACGCCTCCATTCAGCGACTTTGTGCCTGGCGACCAGCGCCGTCACTTGGGCGCGTCCGTCGTCTTCCGCATCCCACTATGGCGCGAGTTCATGTTGTACTTCGGCGTGGTGGACGCGTCCAAGCATGTCGCACATGCTGTCCTCAAATCTGGCAAGACCCTCGTCATCTTGGTCGGGGGGGTCATCGAGCAAATGATGGCCAAGCGCGGCGAGCATTTGATTTACGTCAAACATCGCAAAGGTATTCCTATCATCAGGGCTAGATTCCATGTACTACCCCTCCTATACGATGCTGACGATATGGCCAAGGCCACTGCAAACTGGCGATTCAACATGGCACTGCTGTCGTCCCAGTGTATTGCTTTGGGGAAACAGACATGTTTGAGACCTCCACGTAAGAAACACCTCAAGTATGGTCGGCTGTGTAGTATCACTCACGCATTGGACTGAATTTAGGTTTCTGCTGCCGTTTCGGCAATGGGTGGCCAAAAAGTTCAGCGTGGCGCTGCCGATTTGCTGGGGGCCGTACTGGTGGTGCCCCATCTACCCGTTCGACGTTGAGTATCACCACGTGTTTGGCAACCCCATTCCCACGACCAAGACCGACCACCCCACGCAAGAAGACATCGATCGCGTTCACAAGCAGTACGTCGCCGAGCTCGAGCGCATTTTCGAAAAGTACAAGGCGCAGTTTGGCTACCCCGAAGCGACGCTGCACGTTTGTTAAACGAGAGCAAGAACAACTTAGTACAATGTAGTAATATTAGGTATCTGTAGTGCAAACTGGATAGGTGGCCTCATCACACAAACGCTCCATAGGCATTGCAGCAATTGCTTAGTAGCTATGATGGTGATTTGCAGAAGGCGAGGAAGTCTAATTGTTGATACATCTGTGTATCTGCCAAATGATATACAACCACCGAGGATGGGGGATAGCCCACGTGAGTACTTGGTGCATAAGTATAGCCAGGATATGGATAATTACCTACCCCGGAAGCGGGCTGCTGGAACGGTCGGGGGACGATGCGGAACAACAATTTGGTGGTTGACTGAGGCGGCTTTGGTTC